ATATATATGTATATATGTGTGTGTGTATACAAACTTATTATACAATACACTTTTGTTATGTTCGGAGGGTGGTTTAAAGAAAATGGAATGAATGACTGCTGTTTCCCGTTTGATTTTTCTGCGCTCGACATTTAAGAGTCATTCTTATCTCAGATACAATTTAGTTGCAAGTAAATTGAAAAGTATACAATTGTTGTATTGTAAAGTCTTTCTTTCTTGCTGCTTGGTCATCAAATGTCCATTTTATTTAAATATAGATTTATATGTGTAATGTTTTTTTGATGTTTTTCGCAATTCATTACAGAATTTATATATATATATGTGTGTGTGTGTGTGTTTTTTTTTTTTTTTGTTTTTTAATTTTTTTATTAGCATTTTACAGAGTGTGAGAAAATAATGCAAAAAAAATAGGCAAAGAAAACAAAAAGCAGAAAGCCTTAAAACGTGCTCTCAACATCAAACATGTTGTGTTTATGTGCCGGTAATGGTTGCATCAAACTTCCGAACAATGCCTTTAATAGTGCTTTCTTATTGCATTCAAACATATCCATATAACGCATAAAGTTTGCATAAAACTCGAAATTCAAAAAAAACAAATAAATAAATAAATAAATAAATAAATAATAAGAATAATGATAATGAAAAGCAAACAAAATCAAATTTATGTAAATAATTTTCTTCTTCTTCTTCTTCTTCTTCTTCTTTTTATTGTATTTCATTAGAGGTGCGCGTATAGCATAGAATTGTATGATAACCAACCCCACCAACAAACGTTTTCATGCTTCCTTAGCTTCCTTAGTTAAAATGAAAATTCAAGTTATTCAGTATTTTCAGTATTTTTGCTTTCACCACAAAGGTTGAATTGGTGGAAGCACATGTGCAATTGTGAACTAACAAATTGATATTGTTAATAAAAAGAAAAAAAAAAGAAAATATATATTTCATTAATGTTAAAAAAAATAACATAAAGAATTGTTTTCGGAAAATTGTAAAAAATGTTCTTTCAAATATTATCGAAAAGGTTGCACCTCTTTGTTTTTTTCTTATCAATTAAATTTAAAAAAATCCGCGTACATAAATATATTCGAAATTAGAGTAAAATTCTAAATCGATATATATATATATATATATATATATATATGTCTGACCATTCCATATTTATACCTGGCCAAATATATAAAAGACCATTCGTGTTTCTCACCAGTCGTCATATACCTTCGATAGACATTTGTATGCTACATTCAGAAAAGTCGTATTTCCCTTAAAAGTGCACCTGTACTTTCTGAAAAACTGAAAAGTTTCAATAAAACAATAGAAACCTATTTAATATTTTCTACAAATAACTAACAAAATTGCCTAAAAAAAATTAAAACAAATATTGGCCGATGAAAAAAAAAATTTTTTATTTATTATATTTTATACATAATTCCATGGCGAAATTCCCGATAGTTTTTCCGCTCGCAAATTATGTCAACACACTAAGTGGAAATGTGCACCAAAACTTGGAGAACGTATGCAACGACGGCCGCGTAACGTCTACAAAGTTTAATAATTATATTTCGGTCACGTTTTCGATGAACTTTTTCTGTGTTCTGTTTTGCAAGAGAATCCTCTAACTCAGCAACTCATTAGAAAAATTGTCATATGCTACATTACTTGTAATACAGGGCGTATTAAGTTGGTACGGATACGATACGCAACAACCAGAACGATTTCATGTAGACTCATTCTTTATAATAGCGATCGATTTTGTGTCACTTACTGATTTGATCTAAGTTTGTTTGTCTGTCCGTCAGTCCATATATTTTCGCATTCAATATACAAATCACAATCTACATCTGAAAATATATCTGGAATATTTTTATGAAATTTTTCATATAGCGACGTTTGTTGCTTCCAAGTACAAATGCTATTGAAAATAGTGCGGATCAAACCTTCTCGTTTTCGACAAATTCCGATATAAAGACTTATTTTGAAAATTATGAATGTTCGGAATAATTGCATTAAACGAAGTGGCGTATGATATTTAATGGTGCGCCGTGGCCAACCACTATCTTTTTACTTGTTTTATAAAAAAAAGTACCAATCATAGGGGAACAAATTGAAGCGAAGAAGAATGAATGCCAGGCCAAACGATCTACTGATCCGGCAAATATTATAGCAGCTTGGACGGAATGTTTTGATTTAATTAATACTTTTGGTTGTTTGTTATGTGGTAAATATTCGACGCAAATTTACGCTTCGATTTTATCGGTCGCGAATTTAATCAGAATTTGCTTCACAATAAAACTTCCTATTGAATTATCATCGATTACGTTTAAAGTGTAAGTTGAAGAAAATTTAGATAAATTTATTTAAACAGTTCTTACATCCTCGCTTGATTTCGTTGCGATAATTTTAACATTTCCCTTGAGAGACGGAAAACATCTTAGTTTTTATTTCCTTTTCGTTTGGTAATCCGAACATGACGCTGAGTTAACAAAGCTCAACCAACTTTTAAATGTTCATCCCTTTTATACGTTTTCGTTGAATTTCTTTTAATTTTGTTACATGAAAATAAGTAAAAATACGTTAACAGCGTGAACGTGTGGCCTGACGTTCTCCTGGTGCGGTATGATGACCGTTTCTTCAATCCATCAATGGGATTCGCTTCAATTTGCTCACATGCGATTAGCACTTTAAAGTAAAAAAACACTATAGTGAATCACGGAGCAATTTGCTTCATATACCTCATTCATAGTGGAGTGTTAAGCGGTTGAAAAAGTGATCCGATCCGATCCGATCCGATCTGATCCGAATCACTTTCAACAATGTTCGTCCTTGAGGCAAACATGTTGCCATTTCATCAAAATATCCCCAACAATTGTGTCTTGTGCGTTGAGCTCAAGAAAACAGAACCAGCAGCCATATAGACGGACAAGCTTAGATCGATTCAAAAAATGATTCTGTATCCGCATAATATGCAAATGTAAATGTATTCCATGTTCTTCTAGGTCTCACGAAACTTAATGTACCATTGTGCCACAAATGGTGTAAGGTATAATAAATAAAAGTTGATGAGCACACACGCTCTACATGCACATGTTTAAGTTTTTCCATCAGTTAGTGCAATTTCTTGCATGTGTAAAACAATAAAGAATTGCAACAGCAAGTGAAATTCAAATCATTTCGAAATCTAATTAATTTTTAAATATTTCAAAAATTTGTTATTCTGCGTGCGTGTCAGCAGCATCGCAGTCAGTATGGGTATAGTAATTAAATGATAAATATCATTCATATACTACATGAATTTGTTTTGCAAAGGAAAAGAATTAAAAAAAAAAAAAAAAAAAAAAAAAAAGGATTTGCAATAGACCTTAGATAAAATCGCGTTGGGAACATTTGGGAATAGCTATCGATATCGATAGGACTCGGTGTTATATTGTTATACGTTTATCACTCGACAGTAATTTTACAATCGAAAAATTTTTCATTCGTTCGAAGAAGACGAAGCTGTAAACTCACTACTCATTACAGCGATAATACTGTGTTTTCTTGATCGATACTGTGTTTTCTTGATCGAAACACGCGAATACACCAGAAAGCTTGAAGTTAATTCTGGGTAACTTAGGATGCGTAAATAGCTATTAGAATATGATTTAAATGAACCTAAACGAAAAGAATGTTTGAGCGAAATACGAACTTTGCACTTGTCATCCATCTGAAAAGCGAACGGAGATACATATATCTAAGCCGGTTCGGAATTTTTACTCTTAACAAGTAGAGAAAATATTTTTGGAAAATGTCTTTCTCTCTCTTTCTCTATCTCTATCTATTACCCTCTCTCTCTCTCTCTCTCTCTCTCTCTCTCTCTCTCTCTCTCTTTCTCTCTATCTTTTTCTCTCTCTTTCTCTCTCCATCCCTTACCCTTCTTATCGTCACATAGCCTTAGGATATATACGCAAATATTCAATGCATTAAGCAAATGAATAAAGTGAAGAAGATGCTTTCGTCCGATGTTTTTCGCCATTTACTGAACATGCAACAAAGCGTCGACACAGCTCCAAAATATGTTTTCTCAACACATCGACATCTTCTGTTGCCAACGAAATTCTTTTTTGCCGCAAGTTACTTTTGACATTTGGTTACAAAAAGGTTGTCATTAGGTACGAAACGAGAACTGTACGACAGATGGCCTACTATTTCAACTTTTTGGCGGTTTAGATAGTCGGTTATTAGAAGAGATATATGAGAGCTTGTTATGTTATGATAAAAAATGATTCGGCGGATTTTTTTTTTTTTTTTTTTACTTCACCAAAGATGTCTGAAATTTACGGTTTTACGTTTCTTCTAAATGCACAATTGCTACATGATCGGCGATCAGTTGCTTCAAGGAGCTTCAGGCGGGTATAACTTTTACTGGATTTAATTCATCTTGACACCTCCTGACTGCTATGTGTTTGTGCACATAGATCCATTATTCGCCATCTGTATATGGGTTTTGAAGGATCGCCATTGTATTTCTTAAGTATTCGTTGGCACCAATCGAGGCGAGTATCTTCTTTAGTTTACAACAAATTATGTTGGATGCAACGAGAAAAAAACTTTTGTACAGTAGAAGTAATCATGTAATACTTTATATATATATTGGTGGAGCTAATGACCGAGGTTATCTCATAGTATGTCATAAAGTATGTCATGGGCCGACGTCGCATTGTTAGTATCGCAATAACTAATTTTGAATGACCTTCGCAACTTTCGACGGTGATTATTCAACTCGTTATACCAGCAAGTCTCACAGTGGAAATGGTTTGCAGCTTCATTGGCTAAAGTGAAAGTAAGTTGATTGATGCGCCCTTGTCATGATAATCCACGTTGAAAGTCATGACAAATCACACCACAAAAATTTTCTTCTGTTGATGCCGTTG